AACCGGGGTCAAGCCCAGATTTTTCCCCTGGACAAAACCAAGATGTATCAATGGCCCGACCCCACAGCCCTTTTGATGACAGCAAACTCAGATGACTTCCTGTTCTCTTTTACTACTTTTGAAAAATTACTTATTTATTTTTGGCTAAACTGGGTCTTCGTTGCTGTTTGTGGGCTTTCTCTAGTTGCCATGGGGGTTGGGGGGCTGTTCTTCATTACAGTGCAGCATACAGTGGCTCCTCTTGTTGCAGAGCACAGGCTCCGGGCACATGGAAGTTGTGGTGCACACGGGCTTAGTTGCTCACGGCATGTAGGATCTTCCCAGACCAGGGATTGAACCCGTGTCCCCTGCATTGGCAGGTGGATTCTTAACCACTGGACCACCAGGGAAGTCCCTCTCTTCTATTTCTCTTTCTATTTCAGGTCCAGGATTACCAGAAGCTCCTGGGCACACACCTGGTTTCAGGCTTGACTGTGGTTTTGACCATCATGGCAGTCATGCAGAAGCACTGACATGGGGAGGGGGACTCGGTGGAAAAGCCCCCCCCCCCAACCCTTGTCTGGTCTTACAGGAAGGAAGGAGAAGTAAAGGGTTAAGGCTTCGCTGATGCAGTGCTTCCAAAATATATTTACAGAAAGGTTAAGCTGTGTTTGTCTGTTTTCCAGTTTAGCTTACTGTCAGAAGTGGTGGAAGTACTTCCACCATTTATTTGACTCCATGGTGGTGGGTTGTGATTGAGTCAGAATAAATATTACTTGAGTTTTGTGAGTTTATCATTGAAAGGCTAGCAGATTTTACTATAGGGCAGGATAACTGTACTCTTGTGGCTTCATTAATTATGGTACCTAGACATAATTAGGCTCGAGCTAAGTATAGCAGATAAAATGGAAAATAATTCTGGGGACAAAACAGAGTTGAGATTCTGAGAAACTGAAAGAGCGTAAGAGAGGGCATCCACTGAGTCTCAGGCCCAACACATGGAACTAAAGCCTCATCAGTGTTGGCTTCCTCGTGGGGGGTTTTAGGAATATGTTCTAACCTTCTTGATCTTGTCGCCATACCCTGTCAACAGGGATCATCTAAGATACCCTCCATAATTCATAAATAATCATTCAGATGAATTTGATTTATTCAATTTTAATTCGTATGCTTTATTTTTTAGAGCAGTTTTAAGTCTACAGAAAAAATTGAGCAGGAAGTACAGAGCTTCTATATACCTCCTCTGCCCACATCCATACCCAATTCCCCTTGTTACTAACATCTTGCAGTAGTGGGTACATTTGATACAATTGAGGAACCCATGTGGGTATGTTAATATTAACTATAAAGTCTGTACTGTATGCTAGGGTTCATTCTTTGTACAGTTCAGTGGGTTATGACAAGAGCATGATGCGTGTATCCCCCCCATTAGAGGATTATCCAGAATAGTTTCAGCCCCCTAAGTATTCCGTGTGATCCACTTGTTCATCCCTCACCTGCTTTCACCTTGAACCCTTGGAAACTGCTGACCTATTTACTGTCTCTGTAGTTTTGTCAATCCGTTCATTTTTAAGTGACTACCCAGCTGTTCCTAAGAAAATATTCTTCATTCTTTTATTTATGAAATGATCCCTCAATAAATACTATGTGCCAAGCAGTGTTCTGTGCCTTGGGAATATAGTGTTGCTGTTATTTAGTCCTTAAGTCATGCCCAGCTTTTTGCAACCCATGGACTATATAGCACAACAGGCTCCTCTGTCCTCCACTGTCTGCTGGAGTTTGTTCAAACTCATGTCCATTGAGTCGTTGATGCTATCCAACCATCTTCATCCTCTGCCGCCCCCTTCTCCTCTTCCTCAATCTTTCCCAGCATCTGAGTCTTTTCCAATGAATTGGCTCTTCCCATCAGTTGGCCAAAATATTGGCGCTTCAGCCTCAGCAATAGTCTTTCCAGTGAATATTCAGGGTTGACTGGTTTGATCTCCTTACAGTCCACAGGACTCTCAAGAGTGTTCTCCAGCACCACATTTTAAAGCGTCAGTTTGACACTCAGCTTTCTTTATGGTCCAACTCTCACATCTGTACACGACTACTGAAAAACCATAGTTTTGACTATACAGACCTCTGTCCGCAAAGTGATAATCTCTGCCTTATAATACACTGTCTAGGTTTGCCATAGCTTTCCTTCCAAGGAGCAACCATCTTTTACTTCCGTGGCTGCAGTCACAGTCCACAGTGATTTTGGAGCCCAAGAAAAGAAAATCTGTCACTGCTTCCACTTTTTCTCCTTCTGTTTGCTGTGAAGTAATGGGACCTGATGTCAGGATCTTGGTCTTTTAATGGTGAGTTTCAGACCAGCTTTTGTGGCCTCCTTTTTCACCCTCACTAGGAGGTTCTTTAGTTCCTCTTCACTTGCTGCCATTAGAGTGGTCCCATCTGCATATCTGAGGTTGTTGATATTTCTCCTGGCAGTCTGGATTCCAGCTTGTGATTCATCCAGCTTGGCATTTTGCATGATATACTCTGCATATAAGTTTAATAAGCAGGGTGACATGACAGTATACAGCCTTGTCATACTCCTTTCCCAATTTTGAACTAGTCCATTGCTCCATGTCTGGTTCTTACTGTTGCTTTTTGACCTGCTTACAAGTTTCTCCGGAGACAGATAAGGGCATGTGGTACTCACATCTCTTGAAGAATTTCCTGGCAGTTTGTTGTGGTCCACACATTCAAAGCCTTTAGTGTAGTTAATGAAGCAGAAATATATTTTTTCTGAAACTCCTTTGCTTTCTCCATGATTCACTGAAAGTTGGCAGTTTGATTTTGTGGTTCCTCTGCCTCTTTGAAAACCAGGTTGTACATTTGGAAATTCTCTGTTCAAACACTGCTAAAGCCTAGCTTGAAGCCATTTCTTCTAAGGAATTCTTGATCACAGAAGTAGATACAATGGTCAGCTGAATTAAATTTACCCATTCCTGTCCATTTTAGTTCACTGATTCCTAAGATGTCAATGTTCAGTCTTTGCCATCTCCTGCTTGATGCCCAATTTACCTTGATTCACGGACCTACCATTCCAGGTTCCTATTCGATATTGCTCTTTACAGCATTGGACTTTACTTTCAGCACCAGACACATCCACAGCTGAATCATTTCCATTTTGGCCCAGCCGATTCATTCTTACTGAAGCTATTAGTAATTGCCCTCCACTCTTACCCTGTAGCATATTGCACACTTTCTAACCTGGAGGCTCAAGGTCTTATCTTTTTGCATTTTCCCACTGTCCATGGCGTTCTCCAGGCAAGAATACTAGAGTGGGTTGTCATTTCCTCCTCCAGTAGACCACATGTTGTCAGAACTCTTCACTGTGACCCGTCCATCTTGGGTGACTCTGCACAGCATGGCTCATAGCTTCATTGAGTGATGCAAACCCCTTCCCCACGACAAGGCTGTGATACATGAAGGGGTAGGAATATAGTAGAGGACCAAAATTAAGGAAAAAAATCCCTAAAATAAAAATCTCCATGACACTTAACATTATAGTACAGCAAGCCTCCAAGCTCAGCTAGGTCCTAAGGAGGAGTGAAATGGACCCCTGCCTGAGAGCAGGGAGTTAGAGAAGGGAATTTGAGAATGGGGCCTCCAGCATTTAGCCCCAGGTCCTCAGGTCAGACCCTGTCCTCCCCGGCTAGGACACAATGCCATTTCCCAACATTTCCTCTCCTGCTCTCTCTGAAGTGAGTGCAGTCACCTCTTTTAGACTCTTCTTAAGCTTTTACTACTAGTTGTTACAGCCCTGCCTAGCACTAATAAAAAAAAAATAGGAAGTTTATAAAATTATAAGAAGTAGGTGCCCAGGGTCGTCATCTAAATACCAACTGGACAAGATCTTCTTTGGAAGTGGATGACCCAATCACAGCCTCCAAGCCCCTCTTCTTGGGCAAGCCGATGTCAGTCTCTGTGAGTCTTGCTAACAGGGAGGCCCACTAGGGCTGGGAGGAACCCCTGCTTCCTTCCTCCCAGCCCTAGTCCTCTAGAAAGAGCAGAGGTTTCAGTGGGTAAGGAATCAGGCCAGGGAGAAGGCGGTGGACTGAAGGGGTAGACCCCTTTCCTCCTCTGCAGTGCCACTTCTCTCCTCCTTTTTTGTTTCACACAAGAAATGTGCCTAAAAAGCAACTAAATGGGCTTCTTGGAACCCTCCTGGGCACATTGTCCCAGCAGACCCAGAGGGGAGCCCACCGTGTAGATCTGCTCCCAACTACACATTCAGCAAATCACACTGATAGCATGACCTGGCCGTGCTGGGAGCAAGCATGTCTTCAACACACCACAGAAATCAGCCAGTGCTGGCACTTACCTGGTGGTCCAGTGGTTAAGACTCCTCACTTCCAGTGCAGGGGGCTGGAGTTTAATCTCCGGTGGAGGAGCTAAGATCCCACATGGTGTGTAGCATGGCCCAAAAAAAAAAAAAAAAAATTTTTTTTTTTTAATTTTTAAACCAAGCAGTCAGTCGATGGACGCTACAGATCAAAGTTTTACTATTTATTCCCCCAGAGAGCTTCTTTACTATCATACCACTGGGCACATCTTTTTTACTCAAATCCTTATATTGACTCTACCAGAGAAATGAAATCCATGGGCTGTATACTAATTCGCATGATCCAGTCCTGTTCTCCATGGTTGGGGGACAGAAAAGGAGAACCCCACCCCAGGCCAAAGTCAATAGGGGATTTGATCCTGTTCGTTTTGAAAGCTTTGCCTTAAGCTGCGCATAACTTTCATATACATTCGTCAGCCTTGCAAGAAAGATCGAGGCAACTCACGGGTGTTCATCCGCCTTTTTTATCATTGACGTCTCACAGTGGAATGAGTGCGGAACTTCCTGTGGCAGTTCCTGTGGCAGGCGTGGGGCCGGGATCACCGTGAGCATTTCTTCCCCGCCCCGCCTGCTCCGTAGACCATTTGCAGGTCCTGTGTGATGACCAGGGCGCCGCCCTTGCTGACCCAACTCTGTGCTCCCGTAGGACCGCCCACGCGAGAGCCAAAGCCGACGCCGCAGACCAGGCCGCGCTGGCCGCCCGCCAGGAGTGTGACATCGCGAGAGCTGTGGCCCGAGAGCTGTCGCCTGACTTCTACCAGCCAGGTGGGACCTGCGATGCTGTTGGTCGGGGGTGGGGAGGTGGGGGCGGGTAGGAGCAGGTAGGACCCGCTGCGATAGGAGGGGTTGGGGAGCTAGGAACATGGCCTCTGGTTTCCTTTCGCCTGCTTTTCTTTATAATCTGAAGATCTGTGCCCCCTGAATTTCATCAGGATTGCAGAAAAATTGGGAAGTTAGAGTAACACATGTCTGAAGTCTTGAGTGTTGGTGCTAGATTTCTGGCTTGTTCTTCCCCAGAGGGTCTCCCTCGCCTTCTCCCCTCCCACCCAGAGCAGCAAACTTGCAACTGATAGCATAAACAAGATGAGAATCTAAAAGAAGAATCTAAGAAATTGTGTTAGTGTGTTCGGGTCCATCACAGGTGCTAAAACAAATACCTCAAAATCAGGCACCTGTAACAATCACATTAGCAAAGAAACCAGTAAGTACTAGACTTCTTTTTTTAATACACCTCAAAGGAATGTTAGGATGTAAAGAAATGCACCACTTAAAGACAGTTGCCTCTACACAGACTTAAGAGGAGAATGTATGTCATGATAGAAGAAATGAAAGGGACAACCACACACACACAAAATCACCCCAGATCATCTGCCTCTCAAATGTTATACCATAGTAGTAAAGAGATAATTTACAGTAGGTTTAAATATTTAACTCACTCCTTAGAGCTTTCCTAGTAAACTGTTTCCATCCCTTTCTTTAATATAGGATGTTATAGGGATGTGTTTTAATATGTGTTCTAGGAAAAGGTGGCGATTGCCATTTTGTGGTTTCTCCATTGTTTTAGAAACAACTTCCTGTTGATTCAAGGGATCAACAGGTTTCCAGGCAAAGAGACTAAAAGAAATGTTCTTAATTTCTAAGTATCGAAATTTGTTTTCTTGGTGAAGAGTTTTTCCACATTGGTTTCTGTTAATCAAGCTGGATAACTAGCACCCTGCACAACACGTGGGTCCAATATCTGTTTGGTTCCAGTGAGGGTGATAAAATACTGGAACCCACAGGGTATCCATGTGACTACATGAACAAGGTAAGTCACAGTGTATAGAAGAGCAAGCTTCCATGTGAAAGCTAGAAAGCTGACTAGAAAGTTGCATGAGTGAATGAGAAAGAAAGGACAGGATTTTTTTTTTTCTGTAAAGGGTGAAGACAGTAAAAGGCAAAAGACTTTTACTGAAGGCAGTAAAAGTAAAAGACAGTCTTGTTAACAAGACTCAGTTTTTATGAGAGCGCTTTGGGACAGGCCTGGGTTCAGTTGCAGAGTGATTGAGTTACTATAGAGAGACTAGTTCTGTACTTGGTTCAAGGGAGAAACCAGTGGCGATGGATGTTTTCTTTCATGTGCATCCTTTGAGTTGTGTTTTATTTTCATTTGTGTCCCATCTGTGGGTCGACTGAAATCATTTCATGCATACTTGTTTTATTAGGAAAGGGAAATTTTCCATTTTGGGGGGTAGGAATAAAGGCTTCTCTGGAAATTCCCACATCCCTGGACCTAAGCACGTTGGGAACTTCTTGTTGTAGGGTGTGAGAGCTGAAGTGGGGGTTCAGCCACGGCGGGGGGGCGGGGGGGGGGGCTCTTGTCCCTTTGCAGCAGTGATGCTCTTGGAGCAGCTGGGCAGTCAGGAGACAAAGCAGCTTCATGAAGCAGCCCTGGCCTTGAGCTGCTGTGGAAGCAAACAAACTCACTATTGTCTGCAGATGGTGATTTCTCGGTTCCGTTGTTCACTCCTCACTGGGGATGGGGTCCCTGAGATTGCCAGTAGGTGTTAACAGAAGGTAAACGATAGGGGAGGTCATCTCAATTTTTCAGACTAATAGGTTTTTAAAAGCCTTTTGTGACGTTAAAGCATTGGAGGAGGGGGGAAAATATTGTGGGAAAATGCCATTCCACCCTTTCATAGCTAAAACAGCATCACACAAGCCAGTTGTCCCTCAGTAATGAATACATCAGAGTAGCACGAGATGACAAGGGGTCTATTTGAGACAGGAGCTAAGGGGGGACGGCAGCAGTCCCCTTTGACCCACAGCCAGCACTACCTTCGGCAACTGTATAAAAAGCCTTTTCTTTACTGAGTATTATTGATCTTCTCAAGGGAGCATAACTCATGCTTTCCACTGTGCATTCTTCACAGGGTGATCAAATTGGACAGACATTTCTAAAAGGGCTTTCAAGTACTTTTTCTGAGTCAGACTGCACATTTCATTTACATATCCCAGATACAAATGTTTCCTTTGTTGGGAATGGATGTGTTGTGCATAGAAGTCGTTAACCCTTGGAAAAAAGGATGTCTGTCATAGCTAATATCTTGAACTTTCATGGTAAGTTACCTCTTTTCAGGAGCTGGCAGTATTTTCAGAAGTTTCCCATCTTAATTCAATTTTATACTTTTTAGCTCAAATCTGTATTATTCTACAGTTCAATTAAAAACTACGGAAAAGGGACTTCCCTGGTGGTCCAGTGGTTAAGACTCTGTGCTCCCAATGCAGGGGGCCTGGGTTCGACCCTGGTCAAGGAACTAGATCCCACATCCCGGCAACTAAGACCTGGTGCAGGCAGATAAATAAATATTTAAAAATGTGGTCATGCGGAATAGCTTTATCATTCAAAGGGCTTGGTTATAACAATAAAAAGCATTCAAATGGATGCACATGAACGTGTGTGTAGATAATTGCATTCACACACAGAAATCTAAATTGCCATGAGTAAGAGTGACACAGTGAGTCATAACCCCAGAACTTAGACATAAGATTGCCCTCTGAGAGTTAAATGGACACGAACTTGGGCGAACTCTGGGAGGTGGTTGAGGGATGGGGAGGCCTGGCGCGCTGCTGTCCATGGAGTAGCAAAGAGTCGGACATGACTTAGCAACTGAACAGCAGCAACTGAGGGTTAAAATGAGCCCTTGAGACAACACAGGAATGTATAAAGTGATCATTCGTGATAGGTAGTATGTCTGTGGTTCAGCAGGATTTCCTTGTAACCTGATTTAGTGTATTAGAATTTACCAAGACTTGGTCACCCAAAGTAGTATTAAAAAAAAAAGAGTCACAGAGGCAAAAATAGGCAGTGTCCATTCGAACGCTATCCAGAGGAGAGCGATGCTGTGGCCAGAACCTTGGAGTATTGTTGCACTGGCAGGGACGTTTTGTTATGGGGAAGGACGCAGGGAGAGGCACCCAGCCGTGTATGGCTCTATTGGCAAGATCATCCGAGTGAGGAAATGGATGCAACAGGCGTGCTCAGCCTGATGCCATTGGATTCTTGATTCATCTCATGCCTCTGTCTCGATTCCGCCGCCACCAGTAACCTTCTAATTTTGGTCAAGCTTCTCGTGGAGGTCTGCCAGTGGGGAGAGCATGCCCTGGTGGCATCAGTGCTGGTCCCGGCCTTTGTGACATTTACCTCGCTCATTGTGAACTGATGAATCGGTCTTCTGGTGTCACACATCAGTCTTGTGAGCTTCGGCGATGGGAGTCGGCCCTGAGGGATGGCGCGGCTTCAAAGGGCTGATGAAACTGGCTTTCTGAGCCAGGAAAGCCGAGACAGGACTTGGGATGGTCACGGAGGAGGTGGTGGGGAACTGGACATGGCGAAGGGTAGTTGGGAAACTCTGTGTATGGCTCTTTTCCCCCACTGTTTCAGTTTCCTTTCCATCAGATGCCTTATTTTGTTTTTTATTTCAAGTGATGTTTATCAGTTGTAGGAGTGACTGGTCATGGGTGGAAAAAACGAATGTGACTATATTATGTAGACTATACTTACGTAGAGTATATCATGTATACATAGTATAGGTGACTACATTATGTAGAGCCCTCTTGGGAGGTGACCCAAGCAACAGCCTCACAAGCTTCGTCTTCCTGGGTTTAAGCATTCGTATTAGTTGACTTGGGCTGCTATAACAAAATACCATGGACATGGTGGCTTACGTAACAGACATTTATTTTTCTTAGTTCTGGAAGCTGGAATTCCAAGATCTGGATGCTAACATGATTGGGTTCAGGTGATTCTTCCCAGCTGGCAGACAGCCTTTCCCCAGTCCATGAACCTGGAGGACGAGAACTCTGGTGTCTCTTCCAGATTTTATAAGAACATTAAGTCCATGAGACTATGAGAGTCTCCCCTTATGAGCTAAACTATCTCCCCAAGGCGCCACCACCAAGTAACATCACATTGGGAGTTAGGGCCTCAACATCTGAATTTGTGAGGGCAAGGAGACACAAGCATTCATGGTATAAGAGCATGTATGTTACACACACATGCATAGAATATGTTGATTGCTTCAAGTGAAGTCTTTTGGTATAGGTTATTTTGAGACAGTGTCAACTAAGTTTACACTTCTGGTATGAATTAGAAGTCCTAAGAATTGTCTATGCCTTGGAGTAGGAAATGGCAACAATTCCATATTCTTTTGCCTGTGGAATCCCACGGACAGAGGAGCCTGGCAGGCTACAGTCCATGGGGTCACAAAGAGCCAGACACACTAACACACATTATTAATACGTACTTTTTGTTTAAAAAAAAGTTTCCTGCGATAGATAACTTCTAAACTCACTTTACAGACCCAAAATTTGGAATAACTTTTTTTCATAGAGAAAGGGAAATGGAATAATCTACTAGTTGATGAAAAATTAGTAATGCATGGGGCTTCTGGTTATTACCACCTGTGTATCCCACTGTATCCCACTCGACACACACGGGCACTGAAAGCCTGCCATGTGCACAACCCTGGGCTGAGTGTCCTACAACTTGCAGACCGAAGTTGCAGTACAGTAATGGATGGGACCCTAAAGTCCTATGGGAAAGTGGCATTCTTTCCACATAGAATAGTGATCTGCCATCAGTTGTATAATTTTTTAAAAACCTTTTAATCTGGTCTTCTTTTAGTGATTGACAGTCCCCCTTAAAAATATCTAATTTCCATGTAATGACTTCTGATGTTGCTACAAAGCATGTGCACTGCCCTGGGGGGTCTTCGTGGTGCCCC